GCTACAGCCCATGCATCAGTGAAAAACTGTTCATCTAGCCATCTCTCCTTTCAAACAAACTGTATGACCATGTGTGCTGCCCAACATTTTGCCTACTTTGAAGATTTCACTTCTCCAGTATCTTTCAGGTTTGCCCCAGAAAGGGGTTATAATGCTGAAACTTCTAGCTGGTGCCTGAATAATGTGCTGGACCATCAGTTAACCAGGACCTAGACTTCTCTTCCTCAGTCAACCAATCTGCATAGGTTTGAACCCTACTCCTGGTACCAATTTGTCTTACTTAAGGTTTCTATTGCTGTGACAAAACACCATGACCAAAAGACAAATTTGGCAGGAAAGAGTTTATTTGGCTTACACTTCAGAATTGCTGTTCATCGCTGAAGGAAGTCATGGGACAGGAATTCAAACAGGGCAGGTTCCTGGAGATAGGAGGTGATGCAGAAGCCATTAGGGAAGCTGCTTACTGTTGCTTTCCATGGTTTTCTCAGTCCACCTTTTATAGAACCCAGGACCAACAGCCCAGGGATGACACTACCCACCATGGGCTGGGCCCTTTCCCATTGATCAATAAATAAGAAAGTGCCTTAGAGCTGGATCTCAATGAGTCATTTCCTCAGTTAAGGCCCCTTCTTCTGCTGATTCCAACTTGTGTCAAATTGACATACAAAAGCAGCCAGTATAGTTGGTAACACTTCAGTAAGGATGGAAGGTGAAATGGAATAGACAGAAACTGTGAGAATATGAATATGTTTAGAAGGTTCCTTGTACAAAAATTAGGCTTCTGATATTCATTTAAGGATTCCCTTTGAAATACTTTATGTAGTCTATCTGAATCAGACACACATAATTTGTAGGTTTTGCTTTAATGTATACTTTGAGAGCTACCACTCAAATATTTCACTGTAACTGTTGGAAAGTTATGATTACCTTGTGAGTTTGGAATGAATATTAAGGATAAATGAGCATTTCTGTTCCCACCTATCTTCCAACATCTTTTTGATTTTCCCTCAAATATATTTATATCTATGATAATCAGGAAATTCTTATTTTCTCATGCTCAAAGGCACTTCCAGCTCCCAGCATTTTCTTTTTAATCCCCCTTTGCCATTACAAATTGCAGCATTAAAAAATTCTTCTGGACATAATATCTCTATTCTTAATTATGCATTTATGCAGCTTTCTTCCTTTACTTCCTTCTTTCTGTCTCTGTCTTTCAAATATATCATGCTCCAGTGTCTTGTTGTGTTATAAAATGTAACCTCACATGCTAATAAATCCAAGTACTTTCCATTTTGAAAAAATCAAGAAAATTTTCATGCAAAGGATAATCAATGAATATTTCTTTCAAATCTCAACTTCTTCCTTCCCTCGATATGGAGTTCAAAAGACAACATTTCTAACATAGAAATGTAAACATAATATAGTATGCTTTTATCATTCTATTACTTTTATTCCTTGGCTTAGAGGAAATGAAATATGGATATTTCATGTTTGGTTGGCAATTTATGTACATTGAACATTTTATCTTCCTGATCATTCAATATCTAAAATTCTGGACATTGTAACTGCTACAGTCTATTTCTTCCTTTTTAGACACACAGACATTTACATTTTCTATATTCTGCCAAAGAAGAAAATGGAAACTAGAAATGAAAAAGGAAGAGACAGATAAAGATAGTTCAGTTAGACAGAGGGACATTAATGCAATGTTCCCAGGTCTGACCTCACTGATAGCATCCTGAGAGATTCACATGTTCAGAATATACTGTCATAATCTGGCAATTTAAAATACCTTTAATTTTACGAGATCAGGCAAGTTCAGGGTGGTATGGCCATAGACAACACATGAACTATGAACCAAAGGCTGAGGGGCCCCCAGCTGGATCAGGCCCTCTGAATAGGTGAGACAGTTGATTGGCTTGATCTGTTTGGGAGGCATCCAGGCAGTGGGACCAGGTCCTGGGCTCGCTGCATGAGTTGGCTGTTTGAAACCTGGGACTTATGCAGGGACACTTGGCTCAGTCTGGGAGGAGGGGACTGGACCTGCCTGGACTGAGTCTACCAGGTCGATCTGTCCTTGGGGGAGGCTTTGCCCTGGAGGAGGGGGGAAGGGGGAGGGGGCGGGGGGGAAGGGGAGGGGGCAGGAGGGGGGAGAACAAGAGAATTTGTGGCTGATATGTAGAACTGAATGGTATTGTAAAATAAAATAAAAGGAAAAAATACCTTTAATTTTCATACTCCCACAGCAAAATTAACCTATTCTCAGTTTAGGGAGGACATGGTTATCTCTATAATGGAAATGTATCCTGTGAGTCCCCTAAGTAATAGATCATATCCATAGTTGGAAAACCTTTAAGTGAATTTGTGGTGTATGATAATCTAGAAGTGCATTTAAATAGAGTAACTGTCTACATACAACTGTCACATATTAGGTGAGTGAAAATGCAGATGATGGAGAATTCTGGCAGAGATAATAACTGTGAATACGGCCTGACTCTTGTAGGGCTTGTGAAAATGCCACATTATGTAATGTGAGCTAGAAAAAATGTACTGGGCTTTGGTTGCAGAGTAGAACACTGCGGCAATCATTTAAGACACCTCAGTGAATTGAGTAAGAAATGTGTCAGGACTGGACTTATTAAGGTCACTAAGAAGCTACAACCCAGTGATCCCAGCTCAGTGGGTGGAATGGTAAATCTGGCCAGGGTGTTAGTCCCGAGGGTTGGGGTTACATTCATCAATTGACTGCACGCTATGGTTCTGTCAGTGGATACTCATTTTGTTTCTGTGAGAAGGAAGCAAAATGTAGAATATAGAATACAAGCAAAGAGCCCAGATGTGACCATATAACAACATTATACCAGGGTTTTCAAATGATTAAAAAAAAAAGAACAGATAAAACCTGAAATACTGAAGATAAGGTAAGAAGGTATTTTCTCTAAGAGAATTCCAGTTAAAATGAGCTTGTGTGCAAGGTGAGAACCATCAGAGATGCATTAAACCTGAGCATTTTGGCAAACTTTGAATAATAAAACAATATTTAAATTTTACCAAACAATAAATTAGAAGTCCATGTGTAATTCATATACTCTTTCTGAAGTAAATTCTAGTAAGTTGGTTAGCTGTGAAATAAAAGTATCCAATATCCCAGCATCCAAAAATCAAGAACCAGCAAAGTTTATCACTGAAGCTCTGATTTTTTAATGAACTAAAGTTAGAATATACATGAAAGATCCAAGGCCCTAGCTCACCACTATTTTATAATCTACAGTTCATTAGTAATTTTAAATATATTTCTGAGTAATTAAGAAGACATTCATATGGAATAAGTAGAAATATATTATCATTTAATGTTTTTAAATGACTGGGATGACATCACATGACATTCCTATTTTTACCTCTCCTAAGCAATATAATACTGAGCCATCATGGTGTGGCTAATAATATTATTCTTCCAGTTTATTGTTTCGTAAATTTAAATATTATTTTAGCAATCAAGGCTTGCAAAAATTACTCAGGTTTAATACATCTCTGATTGTTTTCACCTTGCACACAAACTTATTTTAACTGGAATTCCCTTGGAGTAAATAAATCTTACCTTTTCTTCAGTATTTCACATTCTATCTCTTCATTCTCTCATCATTTGAAAATCCTGGCATAAATTTTTCCTATAGTGACTTCTGTGCTCTTTGCTTGTGTTATATATTCTACACTCTGATTTCTTCTCACAAAAAGAAAATGAGCATCCATTGACAAAACAATAGTGTACAGGCAATGAATGAATGTAACCCCAACCCTCGGGACTAACACCCTGGCCAGATTTACCATTCCACCCACTGAACTGGGATCACCAGGTTATAACTTTTTAGTGACCTTAATAAATCCAATTCTTACACATTTTTTACTCAGTTCACTGAGGTGCTGAATTTGTCTTGTGTTCACTGCTACACACTGTTATAAGTATCTCCATAAAAGGTCTATAGCTGCAATTCAAGAATGCGTCTGTCACCATTTTCATTGATCAACCTCATGTGATTTTTTCCATTGTTTTATTGTTTTGCCATCAGAATAGAGGCAATGGAGCATAAATTTAGGAGTGGCGTTTGGGTTCAGTTTTAGAAAAAAAACTGAGGACATTTTTCATCACTAAAATTCAATTAAGATGGATTTTTCTGGAGTATTCTGAGAACCATTGGTAGAACTCTACCAGAAACACACTCAAAATATGTATATTTATATTTGATGAACCTAACATTTGCATAAAGTATGGAATACGTGTAGGGATGTAGGTGAACATCTACATATAACACTATGTACTTGAGAAGAGAGTGCCATTGTGGTACAAAGTGGGACTATGCAGAACACTTCAGACTGGCAGTTCCAGAATCTAGTCTCTGAGGCTAAGCACCTCATTGTGACCTTGAGTTTGACACTCTTTGAGGGAGAATAAAGTTAGGGTTAAAAAAAAGAACTGCTACAAAGAACATAAACCTACTTTGAAATTCTGTTTTACATGTAAGAAGAAGTAGTGAATTCCACACTGTTAAAGTTTTAGGAGAGTGTGGTTATAGGGGAGTGTGGGAAATAAAAATAAATAAAATTAGAAATATTGCTAAGAATAACAAATAGTCGTTGATAAGAAGACTGTATTTTAGTTGTAACAATCTCTATTAAAAACCAAATCAAAATACTGAGTACCAGAGTCAAGGTGGTAGATTAATCTTGAATATAAACTATCCAGGATGAGCTGACTACTTTATGCAAGTCACTGAAAAGTAAAACCAATAGACAAGTAAATAAATCCAAATAGAACACACACATAAATGAAAAAATAAAATGTTGGAATAATATCTATAACTACATACTTACATATATATAATATGATATAATATATATTATTAATTTTATCAAGAGAGAAAAAAGAACAAAGAAGAATCAATCAAATAGCTATGAAGTTCTCTGATGTAACAGAGAAAAGTTTCCATATGGAATGTGGTCATGTGATATCTTCACAGAAGGAAAGCCTCTTTGAAACAGATGTCCAGCATCTAGAGAGTTTGAGATACTTACCTTCTTTTGCCCTAGAGAAAGCTTCTGCTACCAGCATCGAGTCCCCGATTGTTTCGGTGATGCTTGGACAATCTTTCACCTCCCCATTTCCTGCTACTTTTCCCCTAGAGGATATAGGGCAAAAGGGACAGTCAAAGAAACCCACCCTGGCCCTGAAACCAGAGCCAAATCTGCCCTTGACCAGCTGAGCATGAAACCAACCAATCCCTGAGCATGAAATATAGCCAATCTAAGCTTGTCCAAGCTCTAGGGGATTGAAATCTGACCAGCTCCCTCCATGAAAATCTCTCTGGAAAAACGCTGCCCCTGGATAAGCCCTGTGCCTGTCCAGTTGGCAGCTGCCCTTCTCCACCCTGGTAGAGGCAGCCACTCTCCTGGATTCCTCATTCACAAATAAACCTCTTGAAAGAGTTTTGGGGGAAGACCTTCTTTCACTAGAGTGGAGCAGAATCTCTACTGAGAAACTCCCTTAGGGGAGTGGAGCAAAGCTCAGCTGTAATGGCTCTATCTATCTATTTATCTATCTATCTATCTATCTATCTATCTATCTATCTATCTATCTATCTATCTATCTATCTATCATCTATCTATCTATCATCTATCT